GAAATTGAAAAGGATGCTCTAAGGGGAACAATATTTGAGGTGTAGTCTGAGTATGACAATGTGGAATTAGCCGGAGAGCTGTCTTCCCCTGGCAGCCTCTCTCAGGACAAACTAGTTTGGTGCATAGTAGGAAAAAAAACATTTTCTTTTAAACCTTAAAAATAATGCTGATTTAAAACAAACAAAAGGTAAGAGATTTGGTAAAATATCTTATAGGACCCACGTTGACAGGCATGAGGCAGGGAGGAGAGTGTACAACGGGGACACCCAGGGACGGGGTGTGATAGCATCCCTGCTGTCTTCTGGGTTTCTCTTGCTACCCTCTTCATTCTTTCCTCCCCCTTTCCTTCCAATCTACCTTCTTCTTTAAGTTTCAGCCGAACAAGGGTCTTGTTCCGTTAGAACCTGAGTAATTTGCTGGGCGCGGTGGCTCACGCCTGTACTGCTAACACTCTGGGAAGCCGAGGCGGGAGGATTGTTTGAGCTCTGGAGTTCGAGACCAGCCTGAGCAAGAGCGAGACCCCTGTCTCTACTAAAAATAGAAAGAAACTAGCTGGACAACTAAAAATATATAGAAAAAAATTAGCTGGGCATGGTGGTGCAAGCCGGTAGTCCCAGCTACTCGGGAGGCTGAGGCTTCTAGAAGGATTGCTTGAGCCCAAGAGTTTGAGGTTGCTGTGAGCTAGGCTGGGCAATAAAGTGAGACTGTCTCAAAAAAAAAAAAAAAAAAAAAAAAAGAACCTGAGTAATTTATCTGAAAGGGAAGGAATTCACAGAAAACTATTAGAGTTGATACTGGTGATCCCTTAGGTAACCATCGTATTTTAACAGGTAGACCTTTAGGGCCTTATGAGAAAACAGTGAAGGAGGAATTTATTTCCCAAGGGCCACAGTCCACTCATGTGGCAGGTATCTTTGAATAGAGGGGCAAGTCCCAGAATTTCCTAAATCACTGCAGGTGGACAGCTACCTCTTCCCTCTGTAGTCAGGCCCTTATCTGAGCCTACATAGGGTGCTCCTGCAGCATCTGCCTTCCTTGCCATTGTGGTCTGCTTGTCATACCTCCCTGACACTGCAGACAGTTGATGACAAGGACTATGTCTATCTTAAGAATAAGTGCTAACATTTACTGAGCGCCTACTATGTTTACTCAGTTTTCTAAGCCTTATTTATTTATTAACCAATTTAGTTTTTACAACCCTCAGGGGTAAGTAATTCTATCCCCATTTCAAAGATGAGGCCATTGAGGTGTTCGACAATTTGCCTAAGATCACAGGGCAAGCAAATGGCTAAGTTAGGATTCAGACCCAGGCTGGCTGACTCCAGGGCTCACATTGTAAACCACAAGGTGAAAACCACAACCTGGCACCTAGTACAGTGCCTGAGAAGCAATCACTCTTTCTGGTTTTCCGTTTATGTCTCTGTGACGGTTAATTCTGTATCGACTTGGCTGGGCCACAGTATTTGGTCAAACATTATTCTCAATGTTTCTGTGAGAGTGATTTTGGATGAGATTTACATATAAACTGGTGGACTTTGAGAAAAATAGATTGCCCTTCACAATGTGGGCAGTCCTCGTCTAATCAGTTGAAGGTCTGCATGGAACAAAAGGCTGATCTTCCCTGAGCAAGAGGGAATTCTCCAGAAGACAGCCTGTGGGCTTTATCTGCAACATCGGCTCTTCCTGGTTTTTCATAAGACTTGTCTTTGGACTGGAACTGCAAGTCTTTCCTGAATCTCCAGCCTGCCTGCCTCCGCCATCAGGTTTTGGACTCACCAAGCTTCCACAATTGCGGGAACAAATTCCTTAAAATAAATCTTTTCCTATACACACATTTTGTTCTGTTTTTCTGGAGAACCCTGACTAATACAGTCTCCTTTGCTACAAGCTCCTCAAGGCGAGGTTCTCTAGGCTCTCTTTTCTTCTTAGTCTAAGTTTTGCTTGTTTTCTAAGCAATTTTTCCTGCCCATGGCCTCAGTTACCATCTGTATGCCAATAACGCTTAAATTTATAATATAGCTCAGAAGTCTCTCTCTAGGGAGCTCTGGACCTGTATATCCAATTGTGTACTTGAATGGGAACGTGGATTTCTGAGGGGCAACATATACAAAGGCAAATTTATGATCCTGCAACCCGGATCTTTCAGGGTTCCCCATCTCTATGAAACATGCCTCTCTCTATCTGAAAGACCAGGAGCCATTCCTAACAGCTCTCTCCCCCTTATCTCTGTTCTTAATCCATCTCCACGTCACTTCAGAAATTTCAGTACTTCTCTCCGGCTTCACTACCACCACCTTACTCAAGCTATGTGTATGTCTTATCTTGAGTCCTACCGTAACTTTTCAAGTTGCAAGTTCCAAGTAGCTGCATATTCTCTATCTCCCCTCTAAATATTTTTTTTTTCCACACTCCAGCTAGAGTGATCTTCCTAACAAATAAATCTGATCATATCATTCTCTGCCATTACCTGTTGGAAGCCATTCAATGATTTTCTGTTGTGCCTAGCAGGAAAGCTAATTTCTTAGCAAGACTATGTGGTGCTTCCCAAGGCTCTTCATGATCCCGTCCTGCAGCAGTTTTCTCCTTGCTTTCTAGACTACAGCTATCCTGACTTTTTAAAAATTCATAAAAATTAAGTCCCATCATAGGTCCTTTGCATATACCGTTCTTATTCTATTTTTAAAAATTTGGAACACCCTTCAGAACCTCTCAACTATCGTGTGGTGAGTCACTTTTAAGTGAAACAGTTGTGTTCCACACACCTTTCATCAGTCTAGTCAGATTAATCTATCATACAATCTTATAGTATTTATCTGAATTAATATGAATAATAATAGCTATGATTTAGTGAGTACTTGTCAAGTTCAAGTGTCAAGCACAGTGCTAAATATTTTATAATCATATTTAAATATTATCTAATTTAAAAGTACTATGCAATCTGAGAAATAGGCAATATTATCATTCTTATTTCACAAAAGAGGGACCCGAGAATCTGGGTGGTGAGCGGAGTGCATGTTCAAGGGTGTGACCATTTAGTAGATGGTCAGCCTCCCCACTGGACTGTGTGCCTGGAATGAGCAGGGGCCAGGTCTGTTATTGATCAGCATTGGCAGAGGACTGCCTGGCATGTAGAATGTGTTTGATATGTACTTGTTTATTGAAATAATGACTATTTGAATGAGTAATGAACTTGGACACATTTTAATACGGAAACTAACTGGGTATTCCTTTTGTTCTCTACTCCAAATTGGTCACCTATGAGATTGTTTACAAAATTCTAGACAGCTGCTTGCAGATGAGAAAATGGCATTTCCAATATTGGAGAAGTTTTAGCGTATCCTCTACTCTTCATTTTAATGACCATCTGCTCCATTTCCAAATGAGGCACCAATTCACTTTAATTTTACACACAGTTAAGGATGATTTTGGCCCTTCTGGGCTTCTAAAGTAGAGGGAGCCACACTTACACAGGGGCACACTCCGTGTTAGGTGAGTCCATGCTAGCAGCTGTAACAAAGAAGCCCTACATTTCTAAGCCTTAACACAACAGGTGGTTAAGGCTTGATGGTTATTTCTTATTTGTGTAACAACCTAGCTGGGGTTGTTACAACTTTCCACGTGGTGATTCAGGAGCCCAGACTTTCTTCACCCCGTGGCACCCCCACCCCTGAGGGTCTCAGAACTCTCACTCTGATGGCAGCAAGGCAAAGAACAGGGAGAAGGCATACCCACTTCCTCAAAAACCTGGCCTCCAAATGAAGCCTGTGGCTTCTACTCACTTTCCATTGCTAGAGATTCATTGATGTGGTCACACCCAACTCTAAGGAAGGCAAGGAAATGATGTCTCTCCATATGCTCAGGAAGAAAAGAAACATTTTTGAGTGAATTCACCAGTAGTCTCTGCCCCACCCTCACCCTTACAGTAAAAGACAGAGAGATACTAGGAGATTAGTACAAAGTGCCCCAGGGTACGGGAAGAAGAAGCTTACTTATGACTGCGGACATCCAAGAAGGCCTGGGGAGGAGAGGATTTTGAGTGGACTTGAAGAGAGGTAAATCCTTGATAGGCAGAGATGGTAACAGGTGTACCTGAGACTGGTACCAAGAGAGACGAGGTCTGAAGCCAGGTGGGAGTGAGAGGTAGGAGAATAAAAGTATGTCTGTGTATATATCTCAGAGTCAAGTCAAAATTATTATAATAATCTCTTTTTCTTGTTTTTTTCCCCCTGTGCTCCTTCTATAAGTAATTAAATAACAAACAGAATCCTACCCTCCACCAAGAGTATCTTAGTCTCTAATGTGAAGATATGAAATAATTAGAGGGTATACTGGGTAAAAATTTTAAATGTCACAGAAAACTTCTATTTTCAAGACTGCACTAATTACACAGGATGAGGCTGAACAAAGGGAAGTGCACAATTAGCAGAACGCAGCTTATTATAACCAGCTCTGTTTAGAGGCTCTTCTGAATCTATATATGTAATAAATCAATATGTAGTGACCTAGTATTTATGTTTTAGAGGAGAACTCTGGAGATTTTAAAAATGCAGGATTTGGCCATTTTGGATTTGACTATGGTAATGGTATAGGAGATTTTTTATACTCTAGTCTAAAGAGTAGAGAGGAAAGAGCAGGGTCTTTAGCGGGAGAAGAGCTTAGTCTCTTCCTTGGTCTGCCACTCGTTGGCTGGATGATCATAGCCTCTCTGAGCTGTTTCCTTCACTACGTGGGGATAATTGTGCATGTGAAACCACCTAGCACTGTGCCTGGACTATATTTAAAACACAATTTTAATTTTAGATTCATTTCCCTTCCCCTACTTTTCTTTTCTTTAGTGGGATTTCATTCATCTCAAATAAAAATCCTTTACACTTTAAGAACTGTATAAGAATAACCGTAATATCAGATGGGTATACTTCCTCTAAATCTACCAAACTTCAATAAAGGCAGTTATAATATCAGTGGCTCTATCTGAGCAGGGTCAAGGATAAAAAAGTACCTGAGTTGTCAACTGTCAGGAGGGCTGACTCAGCTCTTCTTTTCTTCAAAAGAAGACAAATGGCATATCATGCAATTTACTTTCTGCTGGGGGTTCTTGTTTTATTTTGTTTGCAAACAAGACCTGAAGTGCAAAAAGACAACCACTCCTACATAAACATTAAAGGGGCTATGATGAATACTATAAAAGTATGGGCTTTTCCCTAGACTCTGTTGCCAGAATACTAGAAATTGTTATGAAAAGCTGAGAGCTCAAAAATTGCACCATATTACACATTATTCAATTGCAAAATGCTGTGAGCTGCCCATCTCAAGCCTCAGCTATGAATGGACTATACACCCAAGTGCATCTCAGTATTGACTGAAAGGCTAGAGGCCCTTAGCTCCTGAGAAGGCATTAGGATTACATTATCATATCAATAGCCCACATGCAAAGTTCTTGATAAAAAAGATCGTAATCCAGAGGCAAGAGATAAAATATGAGAGTTTGATTTATGTAAACAAATCAAAAGCATTTAGAGTCAAGCTACTTAATCTGTCTTAAAGCATTGCTAGGAATATAAACATCAGAACAGCCTAAGAACCAGACAGCCTAGAGTGTAAGGGAATTCTAAAGATTATTTGCTATTTTTTCCCCGCTGTACTATAATCCAGCCATATTGGCCTTCTTTCAGTTCTATGAACCAGCCAAAATTAACACTTCTTGTCTTAAAACCTCTATAACTCATTCCCTGCCTCTTCAGCAATGTCTCTTATAACAGTAAGGATAGTCTGAGTTGTGCTGCATTAACAAATAGCTTCCATATCTCAATGGCTTGAGACAATAAAAATGTGTTGTTTGCTCATGCTACATGTCCATTGTGTGTTCTCTGAAGTCTCATAGGCTCTAGGCTGGAAGGAGAAACCATATCTTAAACCACATCACCAGTCAGAATGCCACAGGAAACGGGAGCCAGAGAGTCTTGCAACAGCAGTTAAATGCTCCAGCAAGAGAGTGACATAGATGGCCCCAGGGGACCTCAAAGAGACGCAGGCTATGCAATTATTGCCTGTGCTTGGAAGGCGAGGGGCAGAAGAAAAGCTCTCTTGACTCTCTCGCCTCCCCTGACCACCCTTTCTAAAGCAGGTTCCAGCTCTTCTCTGTCTGCACACTCTTTTGGTGTTTTTCATAGTGATCATCACAATTCATCACGGTATTATTTTTTATTTTCTGTTTTGTTTTCAGCCTGTTTCCTCCACTGGATGCCAAGATCCCGGAGAGGAAGGACCATGCCAGCAGCCTGATCCCAAGAAGCAGTTCTCAAAAATACTCAATTTGTCTCATATTTTTAAACACTGAATATATTTGTCTTGAATTTAGAGAATCCTTATGACTATAATCTCATGCCTCTTAGTCTACACCACCCTTTTGAGCCGAGTGCTGACTCTACTCCGTCATTCTGCATCAGAGGGTCCTCTGGCTACCAACAGGCAGGGACTAAAGCAAAGGCAAACTGGGCATTCCTTCAAGTGCTGTCTTAAGGCAAAGGAAAAGTAAAAACTATCAACTAACACCTCACAGAAATCTCCGCAGGCTGTGAAAACCAACATACCCAGTGCAAATTACTATAAACTTTGTAAATAAAGAGAAAGAGAGGGGAATTGGTATTTTGTTGAATTTGCTTTTGGCAAATTAGCTTGCTGAGAATGGGCTCACAGATACCCCCGGATACGAACAGCTGTCCAATTGCACCTGGTATTTTTGAAGGCACTCTGAAGTAACTGCCCATTTCTTGGACAAGGAAACTGTAGTTTAGAAAGGTTAAGTGATTAGCCCAAAGTCACAGAGGTGATGATGGGCAAGATAAAAGTGTGACCCAAGTGACCTCTTGCCAGTGTGGTGCTTCTTTCTCTGATCACACTCCAGAAAAGCTGAAATCACTTTTATTTATTTAACATGTATGTAGGGCAAAAAGTGTATAAAGGAATATTTCTAGTATTTGTCCTGCTTTTTATCACTTTAAATAAAAACATTTTAAAATTATTTGTTATTTTAAATACTTTTAATAACTATACCATCATTTTCTTACAAAATCTTATTATTTTCAACTGAATAAGAAATGATTGAAGTATAATTGCCTGCGGGACAAGGTTATTTCAGTAAAGAAGATTCAAAAATCAATTAGCAATGGCCTTAGAGAAATGGATTTTAAATAGGAATTGTCACAGGTCACCTAAAGCATTTAGTTTCCTAATAGTTCATCTTAAAAGAGGCCACTACCACTCCAATGGCAATTACAGCAACAACAAAAATAAATAAATGGGATCTGATTAAATTAAAAGGCTTCTACACAGCTAAGGAAATAATCAACAGAGCAAACAGACAACCTACAGAATGTGAGAAAATATTTGCATGCTATATCTCCAATACAGGGCTGATATCCAGAATCTACAAAGAACTCAAGTAAATCAGCAAGAAAAAACCAAACAACCCCATTAAAAAGTAGGCAAAAGACATGAACAGAAACTTCTCAAAAGAAGATAGAGAAATGGGCAATAAATATATGACAAAATGCTGAATGTCACTAATCATCAGGGAAATGCAAAGTAAAACCACAATGAAATATCACCTTACCCCAGTTAGAATGTCTTTTATTAAAAAGTCCAAAAACAACAGATGCTGGCATGGATGCAGAGAGAAAGGAACAGTTATACACTGTTGGTGGGACTGCAAATTAGTACAACCTCTACGGAAAACAGTATGGAGATTCCTCAAAGAACTACAAGTAGACCTACCTTTTGATCCAGCAATCCCACTACTGGGTATCTACCCAAAGGAAAAGAAGTGATTTTATCAAAAATACCCTTGCACTTGAATGTTTATTGCAGTACAATTCACAATTGCAAAGATGTGGAATCAACCCAGGTGCCTATCAATTCATGAGTAGATTAACAAAATGTGGTGTATGTATACCATGGAGTACAACTCAGCTGTGAAGAGGATGAATTAAGGCCTTTTGCAACAATTTGGAAGGAACTGGAGACCGTTATCCTAAGTTAAATATCTAAAGAATGGAAGAACAAACACCACATGTACTCTCTATTAAATTGGAACACATGTGTACAGAGGGAAGTAAAACTCATTGGAAATCAAACAGAGGGGAGGGGAAAGTAGGGAAGGGGAAAAACCTACCTAATGAGTACAATGAATACATATTTGGGTGACACTTATAGCCTGTGATTCAAGCACTATACATTGTAACAAAAAGATTTGTACCCCCTCAATATTTTGAAATTATGTAAAAAAGAGGCCACTACTAAAATCAGTCAAAGGTTTCTGATACCTGAGGATATGAATTTTTAAAAGATACCTGAGGATATGAATTTTTTTAAAAAGACACCTTTTTAAAGCTATTAGTTTTTTCTCTTGTATCTTTTAGAAATAAGGCTTTAATGGTAAGAGCATTTTACATATGATAGAAGGTAAACATTAAAAAAGGAAAAATAACCTAAACTTTTCTCTCTATTCATTAGTCCTTAGAAATTGATTTCTGATTTTATAGAGTTGCTGTTATTTTTCCTCAGTGATGGGCTGTGTAACTCAGAACTGCATTCCTCACCTACCTGTTGGACCAGGTGTCCTGTGTTCTCCTTCTTACTACAGGTACAGGGCACGAAGCATGATCTCAATCTGTTTGATGAGGAGATTGGAAGGGCTCATGGCAAGAGAAGCTGCTGCTTAGCCATCTTCAGAATCCTAAGTGGACATCAAGAAGAGAGAAAACTTTAGAAATAATGGAAATTAATTGGGTTCAGAGAGACAAAAACATAATTCTGTCACTTGAAAGAAAAAAGACTTCTATTTAGATTATAAGTGCAATACATAGAATGGAATGTGGGTAGGCATTGAGTGGAGGTTGACTAAGTGAAAAAAAGTGAATAAATGAGCAAATGAGGATTCAAGCTAGTCCTAGGGCTGCAAACCCAGATGCCGACAAGCCCACAAGGGTAGGGTAAAGAAGGGAGCAGACTGGGTGTGGGGCAATAAGGAACAGTAGGGACTCTGGTTACCTAGTGAGCACGTGCCCCCTCTGAAGGAGGCAGCTGCTGCTCAGAGGGTCTAGGTGATTTTCACTGCTGCCATAAAATTGGCCCAATAATGTCACAACTTCAGATTTTCAGGGGAAAACAGAAATGCAGATTTTTATGTGAAATCTCTTAAATTTTGTATTTTAGAATCTAATTGAAACAAACAGAACAAGGCAAAACTTTGCACAGTTCAAACAAGACTTAAAACCAAGGCTCATGTGAGGGTCAGGGTTAGTTTATAGGTGGCTAGCTTTTCCTAAGGTCTAGTGCAACATCTTCACCTTCCAAGTGATGAAAACGGGTCCAGAGGGCTGAAGCTGCTTGGGCAAGGACACTCAGCTAATTAGTGGCAGGGCTGGGGCTTTAGGCATGACACCTTCCCTTTTCCTTATGACCTTTCACGTTCACTTAGGACCACTCTGCAACCGGCTGAATCTGATCAGATCTATTTAAATAACAGGCTGGAGGCCAACCAGAGCTGCCTTCCACTGACCTGATTCTTGGGTATTAAGCTGTAGGTATACAAAACTTCAATAATGGAAGGTCTAATGTTCTGTTCTCACCATTCATATCATGGAAGAAGTTCTGGGTAAAGCTGAGTGCCTGAAATGTGAAGGGCCCTCCTTTGAAACTTTGAAATAACATTCTGATTGCAGGCATGTGTTTGGGATGGTGTTTAAGCAGTGTGGCCAGATGTGAAGAGTAGCAGTGTGGGGCAGAGGCATAAGTGGGTCCCACCGGATTCATGTGCTGGTTCCATTTTCTGCTAAAAAGGCTCCATTTATGTGATAATCAGTGTTGTGTGATGGTTAAGTGTATAGGTTGACCCAGCCCCTGACTATGGCTTAACTTCTCCAGGTCCCATGTGCGAAATAGTGATAATGGTATCTGAATCATGGAGTTGTAGTGAGGTTTAAGTGACTCAGTACATGGAAAGTGCTTAGCATGGTGCTTGCACAAGGTAGGCATAAATGTTAGCTAGTATTTGTAACAACTATCAAAATTCATTGGATACCTATTATACACTAATTTACTTACATGTATCATCTGTCATTATCACCACAATCCTCTTAGTTTTATGTTATTATCTTCACATTAATAACGAGAAAACCATGACTTTGGGAGATCAAGTCCCTTGTCCAATGTCATCCTGTTATATGGTGGAACCAGTGTTTGAACCTAGCTCTACTCAGTCCAGCCATTTGCTTACTCCCCCTCTCCAGAGACTTGTCAGTCTTCAGTTGAAGATACTCTTCAGAATGTTAAAGGAGAGCAAATCAAATTTTGTCAAACACCAATTATTAATACTTATCAAATTAAACACCAAAGCAAAGGAGTCCCAAATCAAACAATCAAAAGCACTGCAATACTTGTTAATCTTTTCCCTTATGTAAAAAATATATTATTCTACAATGGGGAGTGTACCATGCAATTAAGCATGAGACAGGACAGCATGTAATCAATTTTTAGTGTGCATGAAAGATGGCACCTGGAAGACTTTACTCTGGCATATTAAAAAAAATTTCCTTGCTTTCATAGAATTTTTTATGCAAAGAAAATAAACATTATTAAAGTGTATGAAACATCTTATATAAAATATCATTGAATGAAGAAAAGGAAAGAAGCAAAGAATGAAGGAAACGAGAGGTTACTAAATGCTACCATGAGCCAGACCCTATACCAGGTAGTGTTATATTCATCATATTAATACATTTAGTGAGCAAAAATTAACCAAACCAGGGCCACAAAAATATGGACAATGTGTATATAGTTAACACAGTTTTCTATGGGCAGATATATAGTTTAAATATCTTGATTCTTACTTAGACATAACTTCATATCTTGAATATCTATTATGTTTTGGGTATTTTTTGACACATTAAAAAAAATTAACTTTAGCCAAGCAAGGCCAGAGAAGGAGGATGTCCTTTTAATCAAAATATTTAATTACCATCAATGCTGGGAAAATATTAACTAGAAAACACATAAATGCAAATTTTCTCAGCTTTAGGATGTACTTAACATTATTCCAAAGATAATGAAATTTATTCACAGCAAAAATATAGAAAGCAGGAATGTATTATATAAGAGAAGATGAAAAATATTAATATAAGCCACTTTCTTCAATCTGATTTCTAAAGTGTAATTTTGGTATTTGGTATTCAACTCTCCAGAATATAAAATGCATCTACATTTAAATGTTGGTTTCAGACTACAAAATAATATTTCAAAGTCAAGTAGAAATAAATTTGTTCATTATCTACTCTTTTGGATAATTGCCATTATTGCTATTTCTCCTTGGGCAGATAATGGAAAATTCACTATATGAATTGTGTTTTTCTGGAGAAATAGCCTAGACTCAACATTTGTCACCCACATTTTAATCTAGTTTACAATTTACCAGGCCTAAAAATATAGCTATTCTAGTACATTATTCTATTATTTTTCATTAATATTGCTCCTTCTTTTTAGCTTCATGTTCCAAAAAGGAATTTTGCCAGTGCCATTTATGACGAATAAATCCATTCATTTTCTGTGCCTACTTATGACTGTTAGTTAAGGGAGAATTTTAGTGACATAATAGGATAAACAAGATAGTAATAATATTTGGACACGAGATTTAGTCTCTGCAGTTTTGCTACAGCCCTCTTTGTGGCAGCAAAGGAATTTGTACCTTGAATCTCTAATGTCGGTATCTGGCTACATTTGATCCTGGTTTGTGTGTGGTCTGTGTGAGATAAAGAATTAAAATAAAGACCAACAGAACAAAACACAAAGCACTGCTGAGTTGCCCATTTATTAACTTATCAGTATAAATTCTATGATTCATTAGGAAGTTAGGTGGAGGCAATAGTGAATTTAGGAGATAGAACAGAGGGCTTTCACTCTATGTTTCAATGATAATGGACCTAGCTTTACATTTCTGAGACTTTGAGATTTCCATGCAGTTTATTTTCCATGAGTTTCCATGAAGTTTATTGGGCCATGTTCTTAGTAGCAACACTTGTTCCTGAGGTGAGGGGAGAAGAAGGAAGGCAAAGGGAGAGGTTGAACTTGGATGGGGTCACAGCAGAGACCTGAGCTGACCTCCCAGGGAGCTCTGGAGCTGGGATGGCCTTGAAGAGTTCAGTGTGTGCTAGAGTCAGCCTGCATAGGGTTGGGAAGGCTGGTGGTGTGCACCTCTTCCCAACTTTATGTTCAATGACACTATGTTGATACTTTAAGCATATATGTGGAGTATTTATAACACAGTGATAGGCAAATGCTAGTAGCAATCAGGGCTTCTCCTACTCCCCTCTTCCAAGTCTTCAACCCCTAGAAAGGTGGTTTACCAGAAAACTCACAGTTAGGAATGATTGCTTTCACATCTCTGTGTGCAAATGCATGTGATGAATTCTTAATTGTACATCGTGCTCCACAGATGGAATTAGACTCTATACTTGTAGGTCTTGTGTTGCTATGACTCTGCCTGACCAAGTCTCTTCTGTTCTACAAAAAATATTATTCTAATCTTAGGATTTCTAGCTGTGCTATCAGTGATCTTTATTATTGCGTTTTTAAAAGAGGCAGCTAAGTTCCTATTGAAATGGAGCCATCTCTGTAAGATACAACTTGGTGATACGATCTCCAAAGGCTAAGTGACACAGTTATCAAAGAAATAAGTACTGGCAACGATCAAACAACATTCTGGGTAAAATACTTAGAAAAAACCAACTGAAATGATTTTGTTTAAAAATACTGCTCTTTCTTTACTTGTAAACATTCATCCTACTTCATTCACACTAATGAAGTAGAATAACAATAATTGGAGCATGTCTTTGTTTAATAAAGTCATAAAATATTTTTGGAGCTAGTTTAGGGTGCATACAGTAAGGTGGAAGAAGATTTTAGAGGTATTAGCCAAGCCACATAAAGAATTTGGGTTAAAATAATTCCAGCTATTTAAAAAGTTAATTCCTAAGAAGCTGAACTAAGCCAATTGCTGCATGCAAATACCAGTATCTTTAAGAAACTCAGAGAGTTGGTGTGAGAGAGTTCACCATTAGCTGCGCTAGCAGAAATGTTTAAGGAGACCATTCTGAGCAAAGCTGCACATATTTCAAAGTTCTTTCTTCTTCTGATCTCTTTATAGAAAAAGACAATAAAGGAAGACCCAAGAATTGACAGACAGACACAGATTATACAGGAATTCTTCTCAGCTTTGCTCCTTACATTCTATACCCACACTAACTCTTGGCAATGTAGCAATTATAAAATCACCAGTTAGGCATACAATTTAGAAAAAAAACAATAGGCATGGAATAGAGAGGTTTTCAGGATTTTAGTACAGGAGGCTAGAATTTGGAAACAATAAAATTAGTGTGGATGATTCCGAAATTCAGCTATTAAAAAGTGACTAAGTATTGACTGTATCTATTCTACTGGCCACCACATTTCCATAAAAGCCATCAAAGAAGACGGAAAGTGAAGTTTCCAACATATGTTCTTTCATGGTATAAAATCATTGGGAGTAAATTCTGTCTAGTACTTCACAACTCAAGCACAGGGTCTATCTCAGTAATATCCTCTTAGATGAATTGATGAAATATAGCTAGGGCCACACTTGGATTCTATAATCAGTTTCTCAATTCCTCTATAATCAGTTTCTTAATTCCTCTCTTGTTAAAT